TTAACTTGCCTTTGATTTAATCAACGCTAAAAGACGCAGCAGACCTACTAACAATCCACTTGGTCAGAGCCGAGTAAATCCGTGAAGTTTTAAACGAGGAGAGCGGTTCAGAGACTCGCGAGCGCACTTACCTGCATGAGGAAGTAGCCGAGGACAGCAATGAGTTTGCGGGGCCAAATTAAACTCCCCGCCCCCCCCCCCTCCACCCCGCATCGCAGAGTCCGACGACGACGAACGACGTCAGCGCAAAAGTGGAAATGAAAGCAAAGTTTTCACGGCAAGGGGGAAACCTGCACATGCAAATAAGCGTCGCAAGACAGGAGATACAACTCTCTCGGCGGGGGCAAAAGGGGAGCGGGCGTCACCACCACCACGCGAATTTAGGCCGAAATCCGCGATGAAACAGACGTTCCGACAGATCTTGCCATTATGTGCGTTTGTTCTACGTAGACTGGATTGTGGGGGAGCGGGAGCGAAGTGGCAAGCGGACTGCGCCGCAAACCCGGCGACCCGAGTTCGATTCACGCTCACTGGGAATGCTTGAACAGCTCCTAAAACCTCCCCTCGACTTACTCAGCTTTAAATAAGTACCGAGGGCAGTCGTTACCATCAGCACTGGGGAGACAATGGCAGCTTGGAACGTGGTGTTGGCCACCCACCTCCTCGTGTGCCGTGTTGGCCTTCATCAGTGCTCGCAAACAGCACTTGCGCCAATAGACTGTGAAGGCGGTATATAGGAGGGTATCTTTGTCTTTGCCTATGTACATATACGGAAGTGGTGAGCGATATCATAACTGGTCCTGGGCCTCCTCTAGGCCAACTTAGCTCTAAATGACTAACCTGGTCCAGTGGGTAAACGTCAGCACGGGGGAGACCAAGGCGGCCGGGCATTGTGTTAACAAACCCACGCTGTCGTGTAAATGTGCTAACCTAAATTGGAACTCGCGAACAGCACTTGCCCAAGCAGTCTGTGTAGGCTACACAGGGGTCTTTGTTTTTGCATGTGTGCACACTGGTGTGTTGGCATGTGAAGAATGTTCGCATATGTGTGGATGTTTATCGTCTGCGCGGCTTGTGTTTCGAGGTGCTAAGCGTGTGTTTGTGTTGTGTGTACGTCTGTATGTGTACACTGTGTTGGGAGGCCTTCATTTCAGCAGTGGATACACAACCGGGCAATTAAATAATCATGGAAGTGTGTGTATGGTGGTGTTTGTGTCCGTGCATACGTAGACATGTAAATGTGTGTACGCTGGTTTTGCGCGAGTGCGTTCGTGCACTGCGTTACGAATCCGGCAACACGAGTTCGATTCCCGGTCGCGACCAATAACAGTGGCGATTATTTTAACCGCCCCTGGACCTCCCCTAGGTCGACTCAGCCTTAAATGACTACCTGATACAGTGTGTAAACATCAGCACTGGGGAGACAAAGGCAGCCGGGCTTGATGCTGGCCAGCCACCCCCTCCAATGCCGTGCCGCCCTTCATGAGGTGCTCAGAAAGAGCCCTTGCCCCAACACGATGTTTCAAGGCTCCATGGGAGGAGCTGTCTTTGTGTCAGAATGTGTGGCGTGACTGGGTGCGGTGGTGGCCACACCACGCCCTCACCTGTGGTTCCGGCTTTAGTTGAGCTCACGAGGCTCAACACATTTCATCATCGTCGTTGTTACTTTCGGACCCCGTGCCCCTACTGGACTTCGTGTGAAAAAGAGCTTCATAGAACATCGGATTCCTTCTGAAGTCTAAATAAAGACACTTTGATTCTGTCATCTAAGCACTGTATTCGTCACATTTGTACTTTCGTATTCATATGCGTTCGTGTGTAGATTTGTCAGTCGACCCGTGGCACCTGGGTCTGCCCCGTGACCTGCCAGCGGCGTTCGACACTTCACGTGGCCTCAAGGTGCACATAGCCTGGCACAAGCGTCGTGGTGACGTCACCACCACTTAGTGCCGAATGGCGGTTGTTGTTGTTGTTTGATTACGTTTGCAAGGGTTAAGAGATTGTAACCTATCGCGAACTCTGCCCACTCCATCGGCTTATGCATCGAACTCCACAGAAAGAACATTACTTGATGCACCGTTGACGTAGGCCGTGTTATTATTCATATTTAACGTGAGATTGGGAAGTACAGTACCGTCGAGTTTCAGCATCACCTTGCGCGATTGGTGAAAAACTATTTGGTGTCCGAGCGATAATTTACTTAAAACAAAATTTGAAAATTACCTTTTTCAGATGTTTCAATTTGTAAGCATAGACTCAATTATAATTGTGCAAAAATTCCTGATTCTCGAACAAAGTCAGATTTACGTCGGTCACTAAATCAAGATCATCTACGTGTACTCTATGGAATGCGTTACTGTGTCTATGTAACACACATGACTACACGTACATACGTGTATGTGTGGGGCTGCATATTATTTACGCATATTTGGATTTGTATGTGCATGACTGCGCACATATGTTCGCGTTCTTCGTTTGGATGCGTGTTTGTACATGATCTACGTTTGGACGTATTAGCATGCATTTATCTTCACCGTCGCCACGTTGCTCTATCCACTGCTGGATGAGGGCCTTCGCATCTGATGTTGGTCCCGTCATGCCACAATCCATCACTCTAAGTTCACGGTGGGCATGCTCCTGGCGATGACCCCTCCAAAGGCTGCCAATGTCACCGGTCCCACCCATCGGTTACCATCCCTTCTCGCGACATAGAGTCCGTCCCAACGGTCAAAATAACATGTACAATCTGTCACGTTTTCTCCCTCCTCCTGTCCACCGTGCGCACCTCTGATCCACGTCATGGCGGGTAATGCAAACGAACTGAAAATTCTCAGAGGCGCAGCGATTTGTTGCTTTTCGTTATCAATTCGACCGTTTCCAATGACAACGCGTTCAATTCGGAGGCCGACTAACCATGACACCAAGCTGGGTCTCAGAGGCCGGCTTCAGGGGCAAGTGCCGTCAGACCTTGCCGTGAACCTCCGCTAGGTCTACTCGGCCTTGAGTACCTGGTGACCATCGGCGCCACGGTGTTGCCGACACCACATCATGTGCCGTGCCGGTCTTCACAGGTGTTACTCGCAAACAGCACTTGCCCCATATAGCCTCAAAGGACTTGGGGCATCTTTGCCTTTATTACACCTCGTGGCAGATTTGTGTCTAAACCCTAGAAAGCAGTGACCAGGCCTTACTCACACGCCCTAAACCCCACCGCTCCTCCCACCATCCGTAATCGTGGAAAGAATTTACAGGGCCATTGCGTTACAGTTTTGCGGTCGCGCTGCGGAGCTCTTCAAAGTGTTCGGGGGGGCCGTGCCGTTTATGATTCGGCATTGCATGCGATGTTTCGCTCCACATACTGGGAACTTCTTCAGCGAAGTGAATGTCACACCTGGAGAAGGAGGAGGTGGGCATCGGGTATGCAGCTCCCAGCAGGTGGAACGAAACGTCGGACATCGTGGCGAACAACACGGGATAACGGCAGCTCCGAAAAAGCACGTGGTGAGCCCGAATGCCAATTGTAACCAATGATATTTCCCAACACTCTCCAGAAGCTCCGGTTGTTCAAGCCTCCCATAAATCACGTGTGACTTCTGTGTGGCCACCCCTACTCCACCCCCCCCCCCTTCTCTCCGCCCACCGTGAAAACAAACGCCGCTCCTCCGTCCAGCAGCGTCAAGGCCTTTTTTTCCTCTCCTCTTCCTCCCGATCCTCATCCCTCCTGACCCTTTGTTCCCATCTCTCTCTTTTTTCTCCATCTATCCCCTTATTTCCGATCCCTTCTTCTCATCCCATACCCTTCCCCTCCCCCTACGACCTCAGATTAGCACGGTTGGCTACGTACGGAGCGGAAGTTCAACGTATAATATACGTACACAGCACGTGACCACATTCGTCTGCATAAATTAGAATGTGCAGAGGGACACCAAATGTACATAGGGATATCCTATCGTACATTCATGAAAACTACGGACTTAAGTAACTCTTAATAGGGGTTAACGTTCGTACAATGCCCACGATTCGTTATAACGCCGTCAAACTCGTCGGAACCGCGCGTGATTGATTCAAGGGCAGCGAGATTTATTTTAACCCGCGGAGCAATTTATTCAATAGGCGGCAGGGTTGGCTCAAATGGAAAATGTGCTAAATTATTCGAATGATAGGCACATTTTAAACATTAAGTGAACCGTTTGTGAATGATCGAGCATGCGTTTTGAATGAACTGCCCAGTTTGCCAATGGAATTTCTGCTGTATATTTTTTGATGGAAAGGGAAAAAAAATACAATTGGGATAACCCTCCATGGCTGTGTCGGTGGCAGATGCGCAGGGGGCAGGGATTGACGATGAATGGGGCCAACTGCCCCCCCCACCTTGAGACCCCGGAAATTTGTATTTTATTGATATTTACCGGGGAAAGTACATTGAGTGTTTGGTTCATTATTTTGTATTATTATTCATGTAGGGCCCTATTTGGCAGGCTTGACATTTGGGGACCGCCACCCTCGCCCCTTGGGGACCTTTTCGAGCCGCCTCTCGGTACGTCGTTCAACGGGGGAGAGGGGATCATATCAGGTGGCGAATGCTTGGGGAGGAAGCCTTCATCCAGCAGTGGATAGGTGATGATGATGATGATAGAAACTATACAACTATAAACCATTTTTATTTTACCACGTTAAGGCCCACTGAGCTCTATATTTACTTTTCTGAAGCGACCTGGCTGTCACAAATGACAGCTTAATGAAGGGGCTTCTCACGTGGACATTCATCGCGGTCAAATACTCTAAATGCATGTCGATTCTAAATGTAGAGGGAAAACCCGGAGGAGCCCGAGAAAAATCCACACGCCCATGGGGAGAGACACGCAAACTCTGAATATACAGGCTTCAGGATCGGGATCGAACCCACGAACTCCTGTATACTAGGAGAAGTAGTTAACATCTCGCCACCACGATGCCCCACTATAGAAAGGCACGAGAAGACGTTGTGGCGGCTGCATTACCTGTTGATGGCGAATGGCGGCAGCATGCCTGGTGAAAGGCCCTGCGAGTCTTGGCAGACGGGGTAGGCAGCTGCTTCCTCAGTCTGCTGTATCCACACGATCTGTGACAACACAGGCGGCAGAGGCAGCAGCAAAAAGGCACGAACCATGGTGAGCTCAGATCACACTTGGTACAAAAGTAGCTGTGCGTGTGGGGAGCGGTAGTGCAACAGTTGCCACGCCACGAACCCGGCGACCCAAGTTCGATTTCCGCTCACGGCCAACACCAATGAAAGTTATCCAAACCGGTCCTGGGCCTCCCACTAGATCGACTCAGTCTGAAATTAGTACCTAGTGCGATGTGTAAATACGGCCACTGGGGAGACAAGGGCGACCGGACGTGGTGCTGGCAATCCACCCCGCCGGTCTTCATAGGTGCTCGCTAAAAGCACTTGCCCCTAGAGTTTGTTGAAGGCTATACGGGGGATCTTTGTCTTTGTGGGCGAGCACAACACCGTCTGTGCGAATAGAAACTTTGGGCCAGCCAAACAAAGCTCCGATGCCCCCCTGATCATCCAGAAAAATGGGCAGTGCTCATCTCCACTGGCAACCATGGGTCAGCAGAGGACACGACATGCCCCGCGATGGTGGGAGCCAGCCTGCTCATAAGGCTTTCCACCAATAAACTCTCCAGAAAATACATTTAATGACCACGGAGGGACGATGGGGCCCAAGTTGAGCTATGCTCGTAATGAAGAAATTTTGTCTTAGAAGATGAATTTACCGATGGGGCAGCGCTTGTGTCAGTTCACAGCCCTGAGCCAGGGAAGGAAACTCCACATTCCCAAGGCAGGAGGGCAGTTCTACATGTTTAGGACCACCACTGTTGACATCCCACAAGCAGTATAGGTTTTTATTAATGAAGGTGTGGGACACACACCAAGCAAAAACTGAACTCGCCGAGGAGCTGTGCTACGTTGGATTCCGGTTGCCGAATAAATACATTGTAAGGCCGCACTCATTACACATGCAAAGTGCTTGCCGCAAATGAACCATAATAATACTTTGCTGATCTCGTAAAGGAGCATAAACCATCATCGCGCAAACCCCGGTCAGCCTCGCAGCAGCAGCAGCTTTTGGCTAATTATCTGGAACGCTCTTTCTTCTATATTCTTGGTTCTTTTGGTAAAGTCACGTAGAAGGGAAATAAAATAATAAAAATAAAACATAATTCTGATATTAAGAAGCCACTTCTGGAGCAAGGCACTTTTAAATCTAATTGACAACTCATTTATTGAGAATTGCTTTTTGTGTTTAGTTTGTGGTCCTTCCCTCGCACCCCCAATTATCATGGTAGGCTATGTAGGGTGCGAAAGAAGTTCAAATATACTACATACATAATGGCTGTGTTACTGCATTTGAACCTTTGTTATAGAGATAAAGCACTCTAAAAATGAAAAATAAGATAGGGTGAATTGCAACGGTCACACGAACTCGTGGATGGTCGAGCCGAACGGTGGCTAGGAGATGTTAGCTCTGTCGCCCGGTATGCAGGAGGTCATGGGTTCGATCACGCCCTGGACACTTGCTGTACATTTGGAGTTCGGCATGTCTCTATTGCCCCGCGGTCGCTTGGGTATTTTTCATCCGGGTCCGCCGGTTTTTCCTTCCACATTTAGAAACGCGCGTTTGAAACATTTGGCTGCTATTCTCGATTGAAAACTAATTTCTTTAGAACAGTTTTTTTGCATTCAGTTTGTTGTCCTTCCACGCACCCCCGATTGGCATGGTTGGCTACGTAAGGTGCAAAAGTAGTTCAACACACACAAAGCAGGACCCTCCTGAAAAACTGTGCCAAGACTCAATGAAGCTGTACTGTGTACAAGAGATGGACTACGCTCGGTCCTCTCGGTTGAACAAATCGTATTGAGATCACATTTTAAGAAATCGTCCTTCTCTAGCAGAGAGAAAGATTACATAGGATTATTATTCGCCAGTGTATATTATATTCATAAGCACACCAAAAATGTCCTAAACATTCAAACATGTGAATAAATGAAAGTAAATATTAAATTTAAAAATAAACATCAATTCTTGTCAGCTGTACACAAATGGTTGTAAGGCCTTGTTTTTTTTACTGTTTTTTTTCTGTAATTTAGAAATTTTACTTCCCATGAGGATTTCACTCAAATCAACTGTAAAGCTCAAAGTTGACATTCACTCACGGGAAGGATTCAGAAGCTCGGGAAACCACAGACCGAGTGGGAAGGGACGCCAGAACTGGCAGTAACAAATACCAATGCTCTGGGGTCCTATATTTGAATGATTGGCAAACGAATATTTTGAATGTTTAGCCAACGTGGCTGTACATGTCGCATAATGGCACGAAGGAAGAGGCATGCGAAACTGTCACGGTGTTCAACGGAGCAACGACAGTGTCAGAGAGAGACACCGGAAGATGGGCATCACGGGACCACTCCAAAGTCACTTCACGAACATCTTATTCACACGCAGCACATTTGGAGCGATTGCTTCGCGTGGACTTTCACCTCGTGAACCTTTATCGGGGAGGGCTTCCTTCCAGTTTCTCACAGTAGGGGTGAGATGTTGCTTAGTGTAATCACAATTAACCCTTTCCCATTCCAATGACATACAAAGTGTTCGTCATCGGAACGAAATCGGAAGTAAAAGGCCACGCGGGAGGGCGCGTCTGGCGTAGCGTGCGGTCGTGTCGCTACAGTTCTCAGCGGTGAGCACGTCTTTAAAAACAACGGTGCTATGCCGATCTGAATAACATTAACGTTGAACCACTTGCGCGTTCCGAGATTCAGCGATGAATGGGACATCCGTCCTGCAACTTGCAGATGTCTCGGAACGGGAAAGGTTTATGTAATTAGCAGGTTATCTTTGAGAATTGGGATGTTTTGGCCAACACTAGTTACACTTTTTTTGCTATGGGAGGAGGAAACGCATGGAGAACAGGGCGGGAGCTTATAAAACTCAATGCAGAAAAGGGGTCAGAGAGACAGATATTGAACCCAGACCCTTCTTGCTGCGAGGCACGAGTGTTACCCACCATGCCACCCTGCTACCCAAACTTGTGGCAATGCTCGGGTTTTGGCGATGTTCAGCTGGAGAAAGTTAGAACCAGTCCAAGATGACGAGAGTGCGTGAAGCAAGGCTGTGGAGACGAGCCAGGGAGGTTTGGTTCGTCGATTCAACGCTTACGAAAAGAGTCATACGTGCTAAATCCTCAAAGCTGAAAATATCCAAATTAAATGACAAACCCAAGTTGAAGACAATGAGGATACGTTGTGCACTCATTCATTGGTGACCAGGCGGAGACCTTCAACTCCCTACACTGGACAATCTGGTTTAAATCGCAGGTGGCCAAAACCCAGGTTTGAACCCGGGGTGTTTCAATGTTCCGGGTCAGCGCTCTCAGCGGAATTTTCACCAGAGCCTCTCCCCACGACCGGCTCATCCATACGGATAGTTGAGCGCTATACCCCCCCCCCCCCCGCCTCAGACAGAGGAGTTTGCCACAACATCTCTGGCTCCTTCACAAAATGTAAACATCCTCAATATGGAATTGGCTAAACATTCCAACGAAGTCAGAACGCTGCAACGAGCTGTAATCGCCGCGCACTTGCGGAGAAAACGCACTGACAAAACAAAACGCAATTCATGCGGCGACTAAACGCAACCGCAATTCGAGATGCTGCACGGAAACGGTGAGACGTGGGTGGGGGTCTATTTCAGAGTCAGAATCTTTATTTAGAATGCAGGAGGAATCCGATGAGCTATGAAGCTCTTTTTCACAAACGTCCCAGTATGGGCACGGGGTCAGCGATAGTTTTGCTCGCGTAAATTATTATGGTCTCATAAATTAGTATTATTATAAATTACATGAGAGAAAACCCAGCACAGTCAGGGGCAGAGTAACAGAGGAAGTCGTGGATGAATTTGAACAGAGGCAGGGAGTGAACTGCATGGATGTCTCGGGGAGAAGGGAGATGCAGTGCGGGGGAACAGCAGAGGAGAAAGAGCGACCTCCCACTGAATGAAGCCTCACCAGAAAGCGAGTATTTTATCATCCACAGATGGATGATGGGTGACAAATGGACCATCGTATGGGATCTCGGCTCGCAACATTGAGATCCTGAGTTAAATGCTCTACCACATGAGAACTTGGTTTGAAAAATTAGATTCAAAGCTCATTTGTGCCTTTCCCAACTAATTACATACGATTAATTCCCTCACCTCCAATTTGCACAGTTTGGCTGCAAAAGAAGTTCAACATACATACATTAAACTAATAATTAATATATAGCCCTTTGTCAACCCACTGCTGAATGAAGGCTTCCACCCACCACGTTGAATTTGGGAGTTGTATGACTATACTTCACCACGGCGGCCGGCGCCGGTTCGAGTTGTGTTGGGGGGCTCCCAGGCCTGGTTCAGACATCAGCCGTCGCCGATGTCAGCCGTGGCCGAGAATCAAACTCAGGTCACCAGGTTCAGGGCACACACCACGTTAACTGCTGCCACTGTGCCAAGCGTATGCACGGTGGCTTCACGTGTCCTTTTGCAGCTGCTATTTTCAGGATCAATTTTAATATCGGCCAAGGTACAAAGGTCTCATTGTAGGAGGAGTTGTGGCTTAGTTTAGATTAAGAAAAAAAAATGCAGGCTTCCTCCGTTTGTTAACAAGCACAATAAATCATGTTCATCCAAGATATTATTTTCACGATCATTGTGTGCGCTCGATGCAGGCTGTGTGTCACCCAGTGGTCAGCTCTTGCCGACTCGGCTCAGAGGATGTCGGCTCCAATCCAGCTGTCACGGGCCAACAAACTAAACATTTTATTTGCGCCTCAGAATGCCAATTTTTGTTACACAAATGAACCACAATACCTTGCGGTTCTTGTCAAGGAGCATAAACCATCATGCGAACTCTGGCCATCCTCTCAGCGGCTTTTGGCTAACCATCCAACAAAGACGGACACTGCATCGCACACTTTCAGATGCGCTTCTGCGGCCGTCTGGAACGCTCTTCCTTGCGATATTAGAAAGCCACTGGAGCTATACACTTTTAAATCATCTCGATTCAAAACTGGTTTCTTTAGAGATGTTTTTTTATTGGTTGTCCTACGTCTGATTAGCACGGTTGGCTATGTAAGAAGTTCAACATAAATACATACAAATATATGTAAGGTGGTGGACACGATTGTGGTTGTGGGAAAGGCTAGCAAGGCCCGTCACATACGCCCGAGCGAACTCGCCAGACACCGAGGACTTCACCCGTGAACATGCTCACCGTCCCCCGAACCAAAAAATTGTCCTTACAGAGTGCAGTCTCTCTCCGTGGCTGCTCCGATCATTTGGAATCGCATCCCACGACACGTACACAGAGCAGCAACATTATCATCAATTCCACCACCATTGTTAAGAGACAGGTCAAGGCCCATCTGTTTGTTCCGTTGGGCGTATGATGACACACCGGAGTCTGGCCCTGTGCCTCCTAGTCGCCACTGGAAATCGTCATCCTTTTCGCGTAAATGTGCAGACTATAAATTGTTTCATTATCATTATTAAGGCGATGGAGCAGAGCTGCAGCAAAAGCCATGGTTATGGCTAAGGCTGGTCAACAGCTACAGTTAAAAGGCTTTAAGGCTTGGTCTATACTAAATGCTTTAGCTAGGATTAATGCTACAGTCTGGGATAGTGTGATGGTTAACACTTGGGCTCTACGGTTGGTTGAGGTTATGGCTACAGTTGAAGCCATGGCTACAGTTGACTTAAGGGTTTTGTTAAGACTCGGTCTATGGCAATGTTATGGCTATGGTTAAGACTCGGGCTATGATTAAGGCTCGTGATATTGTTAAAACCATGGTTACGGTTAAAGACAAGGCTATGATTAAAGCTATGGTTAAGACATTGACTAGGGCTGCGATAAAGACCCATTCCCGGACAAGTGCAATGGTTAAATCAATCTTTGAGACGGGGGTTAACTACTCCACAGCTCGACCTCATGTTATTTGTCAGGGGTCAAAAGTACATCGCCGTAAAACTCTGAAGCCGCTCAGAAATATGTCGCGTCTCTGTCCCTTCGCCGCCTTATCAGCGCCCTTTTATTTTGGACAGTTTCGTTTCAGTTCTTCGTTCGCGAAACGGTCCATTTACAGAACGCCCGACACAATAAAAATCCCATTCAGCCAAAACAAAACAACCGCCACGCGTCACCGCCGCCATTGAACTACGGCGGACCCTTTGAGAAACAGGTTGTGCCGGTGTACGAGCGGGGGTGTCTGACGGATTCAGTTCATGTTTGTTCCCCTCCTGCTTCGCCTGCTCAATGTGGTTTTCTCCTTAATGAGGAGGTGTGTACCTGCGACAATGCCTGTGGGGCTCCCTCCAACACAACGCCAGCAGTGAGCATCGCTCGCGCTGCATTCCATCAGTCCACCGCTTTACATTGCACGCATATGACCAACGGATATTTCAAAATGAACGTCAAAAGCCCCGACGTTTTTAGTTTGTTAATTAAATGTTTATACGGCACCACTAGGCCAGTGGCGGCGGAAATTCCACATTGCAACGGCAGGTGCCGGTCCTTCCATAAGACAATCGTTTGTTGTCGACTTCCCACAAAGCAGGCTTCAAGTTATACACTCATGAAGCAGAACTGGTCGAGGTTAAAGCCAACTGGGATTTCAACTCGCAATCTTACTCTTGCGAGTCGAGCGCTCAAATTACAGTAGCACCGAACTATTTCACGAATACTTTCTTTAAAATTCTAAAATTAATTCGTATCCATCACTAGTGAGCCTTCGGCTGGAGCAGTGGTAAGGTGGTCAAGCGCACTGCACTTTTTTAACTAAACTTTTTTACTTTACCAGCTAAGGCGCACTGAGCTATATTGCTCTTTTTCAGAAGCGACCTGGCCACAAATGATAACTCGACAAAGTGGCTTATCATTTGGAAATGTACCGCAGCCAAATACTCTCAAGCCATGTTTCTAAACGTGGAGAGAAAAACCGGGGGACCCAGAGAATAATCCACGCGACCGCGGGGAGAACATGCAAACTCAGAATATACAAGCGTCAGGGTCGGGGATCAAACCCAAGACCTCCTGCATACCAGGCGAAGCGGACAACATCTCGCCACTGCGGTGGTGGCACCCCCTCCCCCCGCCCCATGACATCTGAATTTGTTTTCCAGTCGAGACCAACATCAGCGAAGAGCGATATCTAAGCAGGTCCTCAAGCACTCCCTTCGTTAACCAGCACTGACCAGCATGCCGAAGTACGGTCAAACAACTCCCATGACCAGCATGGCACGGGGAGGCCATCATCCAGTAGTGAACGAATAAACGGCTGTAACATTATAATCGTTATTATTTTCATGAATCTATGCAAGGTGATATATTTCCTTGATAACCTTCATTAAGACTGCAATGTTTTACAACCGTTTAATCTTGTACGTGATTGAACATTACGGATGCTTTGTATGAATTTCAAGCTGCTCAATCTGGACAGCTGCCCATGCGAGAAACGTCTACACACGTCAGAGGAAGAGCCTTTTCTTCCCCGCTAAACCGGCAATGAAGAAAAAAAACGTATCAGCACCAAAAACAAACGTTTAAAAACTAAATATTCAAACGCGTTCACATCTCCGAGATTAAACCGAACGGGCAGACTGACAAGCCCGAAAGACGGGCAGAGACACAGACGAGAAGACACTATAATAATGAATAATTTAGGAGGGAGCGATAATTGCTGGGGGATAATCCCAAGCGCGTAATTTGTGGGACGATTTTTTCTTCAAATGTGGACGATGACGCCAGCGCAAGCAGCGGCCTACCCGTGTGAACGACGTCAGGGGGATTTTTTGCATCCGCTGTGAGGCAGACCGGCGCATCGTGTCACGGTCTATACGCGCGCAGTAATAATCAGGGTGGCCTAATGGATTCAAACCGTGAACCTGCGGAACAAGTGGCGGATGCGCTACCGCTGGGGACCACGTCACGCTGGGCCATGTATGTTGTGCGTCTGTCGCACATCGTACATAGCCACCAAACCATGCTAATCACAAGTGCGGGACTGATAAATACTAATAATCTCAAGTTGCAATGCTCCCGCACCGTATTCGCTCACTCTCCAAGAGAAGGAACGACTCAAAGGCAGGAAAAAAAACACTTTTGAGTGGCTAAGCAGCTAGGCGGTGAGCCGGCACCAAATTCCGCTCCAAGCTCTGCAATCCTCTATATATTAAGGCGTTATCGGCCAATTAATGAGCGTTTAACACGTGGAAGGAAACTGGGGCACCTGGAGAAAACCCACGCGTGCCAGGGGGTAACTCTCTATCCCAGTGCTCTTCATTGTAAGGCCCGCAAGGCCCGCAGGCCACTGGCGGCCCCCGACAATACACAAAAGTGAAAACACCCCCATGATCGTGCCGTCAACCCCCAATGGTTTCAAATGGTGTTGCGATCCTCACACCGATCATGTATCTTTGGCGAAAGTGACACCCCTCTGAAAATTAGTGAAGAACACTGCTCTATCCCATACGGATGAAACAGGTGAAGTCCATAATTTTGCTGTATCACCTTCTACTATAGTGGCAAGCCAGGGTATGGCACCTCGATGCCCACAGTAAGGGAGTTTCACAACAATTGTGTGAACCACCAACCCCCACAGCGATGGGTTACAAGCCACGTGCACAGGGAGGGAGGGAGGGGAGGGACTGGGGACCCACCTGGGAGGGTGGCGCAGCCCAGGGGCCAGGGAGGTGAGTGAAGACGCTGTGTGGGTGTGCGTCCGCGGAGTGGTAGCTCTCCCCGGGCATGGCCTGAGCGTGCGCGGAAGCAGTGGTGGCACCTGGGTTCTCCATACACGAGGCTCAGCGCGCCGGCATGACGCCACGAACCAGCGGCCTGGAGCGGGCGGGCGCACGCACGAGCGGGCAGGCGGTGGGTAGGACCTGGTCGACACCAAAGACAAAAAATCCCCCGTAAAGACTTTAGCAGCCCAATTCAATGATTTAATTTGAGGTCAGATCGCGCAAGTTAAATGCGTCGTAAAATCATTCACCACCCGACACGACCAATTAATAAAGGCACAACCGGTATGATGTTGCAGAGATTTCAGTTTCATTTATTTGATATAGCCCTGTGAGCCATTCGGCTCTTGAATCGGGTGCAACCGCAACAAACAAAAACATGAAGAAAACATCTTAAAGTGACTACGCGCAAACATAAAAATCCAGGAAAAAAACATCAAAGTCTTCCAGAAAAAGCACCGTATATCAATGCTGTGTGCAAAAAATCCCAGTGGGATGCAAGTCAAACAAGAACCATAAGACAATTTAGATTAAGGCCATCAATCTAACTCTGTACTACAACAAACAAATATGGCTAAACCAAAACGTTTTCGAACTCACCAAAATAAAGCTATAAAAGCAATGTAGCAGTGATCATAGGAACTGATTGCAATTTTACAATAAACGATATACTACGTAACATGTACTACCAAACGTTGCAGCCATAGCTGGCTGCATGAGTCACTCCAGAGCAGTCCAGACACACTGAAATGGGTACATTTTCTGACTGCTACAACCAGCATCATTAGCCAGTTGCCAGAATTCTGAAAATGTCCTCCAGTCTTGGCCCTTAAATATGTGGCTGCGAGGTCGCATGCGGTGCGGCGCGTTAACAAGTAGAATTTATTATTAGAATATCATGAGCAAACTACTTTTTTTGAAATGTAATGTTTCATTATTTCCCTTGCGAAACACCTGCATGACACGCAGCCACAGACACACATCGAGGCTGTATCTCACCAAACCATCATATTAGGCAACTTGACATGTAAAACAAAATCAGAATTACGTAACTTGCAAATACGGAGGGGCACATGAGTTGCTGGTTAATATTTATATCTATAATACTCGTACTCATTAGGGTGGCTACGCATATGGAAAAGTGAAGTTTCAATTTCCTTTGACCACACCCTCCTCTCATACGTTTGGTTTAACAGTCAACACCGTAACACGTGTCGTTCCAATCTATTCATATTTACAACTTGCTCAATATCCCCTCTCTCCTCCTCTGCTTCTCTGCCTCTACAACGACTGTGTATCGACCGCAAGGCATTTCTGAACTCCACCGAGCAACCAGCAGATACAGCGATGGTCTTTAAACTAGCAGTGGCATCGTTTACTTCCTCGCCCACACCACACTCAAATACCCACTCACCTATTCGCTCAGGATGCCATCTCCTCTGCTTCTCTGCGTCTATGCCTCTACACTGTGACTGTGTGTTGACTGCAAGGCATTTCTCAACTCTGTTGAGCAACCAGTGAACGTCGAGTGAATGTCTTTATTCTCACAGTCGCTTCAGTTGAACAGGCAAGTGTGACTAAAACCAGGAGGCATGACCTTGAGAAATCACAAAACTTTATTTTGAGTCGGACCTTACTAATCAAGACGGAGACCAATTACAATTTACACAGGTTCGCAAGGTAATCTTGTTGAACAAGTAACAAAGATTAATCATTTTAAGTGGGGATTTTGTCATCTACAGCGGGTGAAAGTAAGACCTTGACGTGTGGCCGATGGGGTTTCAAGTAAAAAAATGAACCTTATTCATCATCGTCAGCAAAGATTGATCCACTGCTAGAGGAATGCTATTTTACCAGGTAAGGCCCACTGAGCTATATGGTAACTGAATGAAGTGGCTTATCACGTGCACATTTATCGCAGCCAAATACTCTGAATGCACGTTTCTAAATGTGAAGCGAAAAACCGAAGGATCCCAGAAAAAATCCACACGACCACGGTGAGAGAGAACACACAAACTCTAAATGTACACAGGCATCAGGTTGGGGATCGATTCCATGACCTCCTGTATACCGGGCGAGGTAATTAATATCTCGCCACCAGCGGCGCCCAACCCACGAAGACAACTCGCACAATCCGACTGAAGCGTCGAATCGACGACCGACATGAACAACCTCGTTGGAGAACGACTGAAACAAAACGATGTCTCAACAGGCTCGCGACCACAAGATGAGACCTAAGATTGATGTGCAGAGATATTTTTGTTGAATATACATTAAAAACCGGCTAAGCGAAGCTGATAAGGCAACACACTGTAAATGGGTGAAAGCCCAGCGGGGCCGCGTATTTACATTAGCTGCGTGCCCACCTCTTGCGCACACTTCCTGTAAAGACCCCCCCCCCCCTTCCCCCCTTCTGCGGCTATCATCTTCCAAGCTACGTTTATTTGTTTGGCCCGGGGACAAAGTTCCCCCAACGCCGCGTCTCTCATTTAAAGTCTAAGTGACTTCCTGCTCAAAAACACAAGCGGCACAGAGCGGGCCGCCGCACATCCCTACGACTGACAATGAGGCCGTGGAAATCGCACAGGGTCGGTCGCCCTCCCTGCGGCAGACAGCCGCGGTCGCCCTCCCGCAAAGCGGGGGGCCTCGTTTAATCGATCCGAGAAGAACGGAGATACATAATCAACGTTTTTGGGTCTAGATCACGTTATTTATAAATGTGTCGTAATCCTCCACCACCCGACACGGCCAATCAGTAAAAAAGTGTCACGTTGACAAAAGACAAATAGTTCACTGCTTTAGCCCAACGGTGTGTTGAAGCATGAAACCACAACATTTACAATTTGAGTACGCCGTTTCGCTGGTAATTGCATCCAGCATAATCGGGCAATTCGCCAGATTATGAATAAAATTGGTCGCAAAAGCCTACGTGTTAAACGGAGATACAGTCGGCCGAGTTGAGCCCCAGACCTGGATATGGAAGCCGATGGCCTCATTGTGAGCCAAGCGCTCCACCACAGCGTGCGAAACAGAGCCACGTCGTCATCGTACCCCTCGCTTCGTTCCAGATATCACGGCTGCACCGATGGAGAGGCAGCCGGACGGCTCGGGGATCAGAGAGCCGAGTCCGCACCTCTGAGATCCTGGGTTCAAACCCAGGCAACCGCTTGGCGAATAAACCGCGTTCTCAAATGAAGTGAGTTGATGGTATCAGCCCAGTCAGCTGCCGATGACTGCACAAATAAACGTGTCACGATAAATTTGGTTCTGAACTTACTTTGGCCAGTTGCCAGCTCAGCGCTCTGACCTCTGAGCAACCCCACCACCCCTCGTTCAGTGCCCCCCCCCCCCCCCGTGCAAGGAACATTACAACTCCCAGTGGCAGCGAGCTGAACAGTGCAGCCCACCTATCGTGCGGACTGGAGAGGTCAATGTGAAGAGATTTCAGAGAGATGGCTTTGTGCTATAATGCTTCTGTGGGCCGTTCTCAACGTGACGCTGTAACTGCGCTACAAGAGATCCAAATGGATGCTTCTTCATCTCGACATCATATAATTTAGCCGGGTGTAATATCCGTACCTCTGTTACCTGTCACTATCAAGTCGGGGTTGGCGCACGCCATGAGACTCCCAACCCGCGCTGTACTGCGAGTTGGACCAGATATGGCAGTACAGCAAGTTGGTTTCTTCACTGTCAAGACAACGCAGTTCATTGAATTTTAATTTGTATCTGTATCACCGATTTTTTTCAACGCTACCTCGTAATGTGCGCGTGGATTTTTCTCCAGATACCCAGGATTCCTCCCACATCCCCACAGAAGCTGGCTGTGGGAGTCAAGGAAGGACGTTCCCACAATGCAAACGACAGCTGCACGATGGAGATTACGAGTCGGGGATGGAATTTGAGCAAATGTCTCTCTTTGTATGGCAGGACACGAGTTCCGGTACAGCGGGCTCAAGCGAGAGAAGGATGCGCAATGCCCGGGCATGGCGCCTTTTAATCAGGCAGCGTGTTCGACATCATTATATTAAGAGGTTAATGAGCCAAGCCTGAGAAGGTTACACGCCCCAAGTCAGGGAAACCATGCCAATACCATCAATTATAGCTTACCCGGGGCATATTAAATTACTCGGTCTCTTTCGTGCATTTGAGGAAAGTAACACGGAGACGACAACGCCAAGCGCTGTACTTATCGAGATCATATTTATACTGCACTCGTGCGATTGACTGCTGCAGTGGTTGATGGCCGTGGCACACAAACGGGAGCAGTTTGCGGGGACAAGTCCTGTCCAGGGCTCAAGCCTCCGGACATCATTAATTCCCCTCCGTGCTTGATGACGCGAGTTCACATCACATTCGTACGAAGCTTGAAGTTTCCAGTAGTCGTGCATGATACCCCCCCCGCCCCGCGCCAGAACAATGTGGGATTTCTGCCACTTGCTCATGGGTGTTTTTAACAGAAGATGGGTCGCTGTCCCACGCGCTCTTTTCAACTTCACATAGACAACAGTGCTCTGAGATTATTGACACCAAAGACAAAGATACCCCTGTGTAGCCTTCACAGACTGTTGGGGCACGTGCTGTTAAGCGAGCACTTATGAAGGCCGGCACGGCACACGAGGGGGTGGGTGGGGGGGGATCAGCACCACGCCCGGCTACCTTTGTCTCCCGAGTGCCGATGTTTACACACTGCACAAGGTACTCATTTGAGGCCGAGTCGACCTAGTGGAGGCTCAGGACCGCTTCAGATGATCGTCACTAATGTTGGCCATGAGCGGGAATAGAACCCGGGTCGCCGGGTGCTTCGCGCTCACCACTACGGCTCCTTTAACATGAACGTACCCGCACACAACTTAAACCGGCTCCGAGTGAACAACAAAACCGTCATTAACTTAAGGTGCATCTTATTGCTGGATTTTCACGATCGTCAGAAGCAGACTCCGGGCCACGCTGGGCCATCCCAAGGAGGGGCTGTGTGGGGGGCTCGGGTCTCATGCCAACGTTTTTAGCGACACGCCGCAACTCCGTGGAGTTTAGCGCCTTCCACTCTGAACTATAAACATTTTTTTTTATTTTACCAAAAAGGTAAGGCCCACTGAGCTATACAGCTCTTTTTCAAAAGCAGCCCTGGCCACAAATGA